CCTGGCAAAAACCTATGTGAAAATAAATAAATAAGTGAATAAAATAATTTAAAAAAAAAAGAAAAAGAAAACGCTGGGACACAGTAGAGGAGACGCGCAGAGCTCGACGTGAGAGCGTCTTAAGCCGGCCAGGGGGCTGAGCATCGGCTGCTAACTGGTGCTAGTAGGTAAGACAACGACCTCGTTGGTTGTTTGTTTAAAAAGGATTCCTGGTCTTTCAGAGATACACTGAAGTGTTGCCATTTGACATGACAGGATGTCGGGGACCTTTAAAGCAGCCGGTGGGGGGCGGGGGAGAGATGACAGATTGGCCAGGAGCTGGCCCCTGCCAGCCATGAATCCACAGGGGCCGTTCTGTCACTCTGTCTACTGCGGGGCATGAATGCTTGAAATTTTCCAGAATAAAAAGCTATTTTAGAAACATTCCGACCGATCCCTGCTCTGGAGGAGCTAACATAAGGGAGGGGAGGTTCAAAGTCTGGCAGGTGGTGGCAAGTACTTATGGAGTGAAGAGGGGGTCTTGGGTTCTTTTTTTTTTTTTTAAGAATTATTTATTTAATTTCAATTTTTTGGTTCTTGTTTGTTTGTTTGTTTGTTTGGAGAGGTTTTTGCTATAGGGCTTGTACGCTCTCCAGAAAGACAGAGACAGAGAGACAGAAAGCGAAAAATCACCCCCCAAGGTGATGGCCATGCCACAATCCTTTCTCCTCCATTCTCCTCTCAGGATCTTGGTCACGCATGCACACGCGTCTGGCATGAGTTTAAGCCACTGGGTCTGGGACTCGAACTGTGGTCGACTACATGGGAGTCCAGCAACATAGCCATTATGCCAAGTGCTGGTCCCATCATTATTTTTTAACTTGACTAGAGAAAGAGAATGGGAAAGTGAGAAAGCAAGTCACCAGGTCTGGGACTTGAACCATGGTGGGACACATGGGAGTCCAGGACCTTAACCACCACACCACCTGCTGGCCCTCAGCTTCTATTTTAAGTGGCATATTCAGGGGAGGTCTCTCAGAGAAGGTGACATTAAAGAGGTGAGGGCTCCCCCACCCCTGCTCCGCGTGGCACAGCGAGTCCCGGGATTCCGAGAACGTGCTGGGGGCCTTGATCGGCTGAGACTGGGAGTGGACCACAGCACAGAGACCCTGGCAGAGCGTCTGTCTCTCTGTTTCCCTCTCAGAAAAAATAAACTTTTTATAAAAAAAAAAGTCTGATGATGGGGACCAGCAGATGGCATAATGGTTATGGTGCTGTACTCTGGGAGTGGACCACAGCACAGAGACCCTGGCAGAGCGTCTGTCTCTCTGTTTCCCTCTCAGAAAAAATAAACTTTTTATAAAAAAAAAAGTCTGATGATGGGGACCAGCAGATGGCATAATGGTTATGTTGCTGGACTCTCACGTTGTGATCGTGGTTTGAGTCCCGGACGTGGCGGCTTCAAACTCATGCCATGTGCGCATGTCCAAAATCCCCAGAGGAGAATGGAGAAGGGAGTGATTTCACACTTTCTGTCTCTCTGGCCAGTGCAAGTGCCCTAAATAAATAAATAAAGCAAGAAACACAGGGGCCTGTGGTGGTTAAAGGCATTGGACTTCCACATGGCCTACTGCAGTTTAAGTCCCAGACCTGGTGGCTAGCTTTCTCACTTTCCTCATCTCTTTCTTTTCAGGAGTGGCAAAGGGGCTGATAGGGCTGGCATGGGGGAGGCAGGGAGAAAGCGGGAGGGGGTGAGGTCTAAGAGGGGAAGACTGCAGGGCCTTGGGTATGCTGGAAAGACTGAGAGCTGGGGGCGAGGGGTGGCTTCCGACCTCTCCCCGGTACGCAATGCCTGTGCAGTGTGGGCTGAGGGCACCTTACACCTGGGGACACACCCCCTCCACCCTCCACCCTTTCCGCATGGTCTCTGGCACCTTTGAACCCCTCAGGCATGCCTGGGGGACCCAGAGACAGGTGGGCAGGGACTTGGGGACTCAGAGGGGAGGGGCTCCACCCTAACCCAAGCCGCCTCTTGCTGGCTCTGTGTCTTCCCCTTGGCCACGTTCTCCTGGCTCTTCCTTCCTGTACCCCCCTCTGCCCCCACCAAACCCCAGCAAGGCCATAACCCCCACCCCTGCGGCTTCCCGAACACTGAGTCACGGGCTGCAGGAACTGTGGGATTAGGGGGTGTGTCCCTGTCCTGGCACGGCGCCCCAGCCCCTTCCTCACCCACCTGCAGCTCCTGGAACAGCAGGTCAGCCAAGACGCGGTGGCAGAGCTGGGTCACGCGGTCCAGAGCGCAGGCCGAAGCCTCCCGGGCAGGCTCGCTTTCAGGGGGCCCCACCCTGGCCAGGCGCTCAGCCAGAGCCCTGTGGGGATCACCAGACCCGAAAGTTGAGGGGCCACCACACCCCAGCCCAACTGCCTGAACCCCTATTCCCTTAGGTGGGCCTGTTTTGTGGGATGCAGGGGTGACGGGGGAACTGAGGGAAGACCGGAGGCTGGGACATCAGGGAATGCCCAGGAGGTTGGAGTTGTCTGGGGATAGCGGGTGTCAGGGAGCACATGAAAGATCCAGGGAATGGGGGATTCAGAGGCCTCGGGAGTGTTAGGGGGGCTGAGGATGGCCGGGGGCCAGAGGATGCCAGGGGAGAGGCTGGGAGATTTCAGGAAGCAGGAAGATGTCTCAGGGATAGAGTTATCTAGGGAAGTGGGGGCAGGGCCTGGGAGATGTCGGGGGTCTAAGGTACAGTGGGAGAGATAAAGATCTCTCTGGGAGGACCAGCAGATGGCATAATGGTTACATTGGTGGACTCCCACACAGCCAACTGCAGTTCGAGTCTTGGACCTCCTCTGTGTGCGTGTGTGTGTGTGTGTGTGTGTGTGTGTGTAGCGCTCAAAATCCCGGGAGGAGAATGGAGAAGGGAAGGGGAGGGTGATTTCTCACTTTGTCTCTCTGTCTCGCTCTGTCTGGCGAGCTCATGCGCCTTATAGCAAAAACCTCTCAGAAAAAAAAAAAAAAAAGGAAAAGAAAAGGATCTCTGTGGGTCTCTGGGTCTCTGTTTCTCTTGGTGCTCTCTGGGTGATTGACAGTGAGGAGGCCGCTCTCTTTTCTGTCCTCCGAGTAGTCTAGGACAGCCCCCCCACTGAAGGGAGAGTGACCTGTCTGAGCCCTCTCCTGCGCCCACATCACAGATGCCACCAAGCCCCATCCCAGCAGGCCCCCACCTAGGCATGCACCCCACAGAGTCCCCAGGCTGAGGGGATACCCCGTATCCCCCCCGTGCAGGGCTCTTCCCTGGAAAAGTGGAACCAACTGTCTCTCCTTTGGGGACAGTGGAGCATAGTTCACCTATGGAAAAGGAACCAGGGACAGGGGTGGGCAGGGGAACGGTGGCACCACAGTGAAATGAGGCTCTCTGTGAGGCCGGTCCCCGGGAAGGTTCCAGGTTCACATCGGAGACCTCCCAGAACACACCAGGCACACACGTGCCGGGATGCAGGCTGGCTGTGGCCGGGGCTGGGTTGTGGCTTCGAGACTCTGGAGGGGGGCAGCCTCTCTGTCTCTGTCTCTGTCTCTCTTGCTCAGTGGCCGGGGGTGGGTTTGGGCTTGGGAGCCTTGGGAGGGGGCCAGCCTCTCTGTCTCTGTCTCTGTCTCTCTTGCTCATGAAAGAAAACTTTATTTTGTTGAGAGAGATATTTTTTGCGATAGGGCATGTGTGCTCGCTAGAGAGATGGAGAGAGACAGAGAGACAGAAAGTGAGAAATCACCCCTCAGGGGAGATGGCCACCCCGCAATCCCCTCTCCTCCATGCTCCTCCTGGGATTTTCGGCACATGCACACAAGCGCCCAGCATTGAGTGTCAAGCCACTGGGTCCAGGACTCAAACCACGGTCCACCATGTGGGAGACCAGCACCTCAACCACAATACCACCTGCTGGCCTTGAAATAAACTTTTTTTTTTTTTAAAAAGAAAACCACGGGCCACCAGGTGGGAGACCAGCACCGCAACCACTATATCACCTGCTGGCCTTGAAATAAACTTTTTTTTTTTTAAAAAAAGAAATATTAGTAAGAAATGTAATACAAAAACACTAGAAATATTTTTAAAAAAAGAAAAAGAAATGGGGGGAGGGACTCTTTATCCCCTAACGGAGGGTCTCCAAGCTGCTGGGGGAAAAGGGGCAAATGTGTACAACAGTGGACTGTTTCTATTTTATAAAGAACAATGAGGGACCTGCACATGGCATGAGGCTAAGATGCTGGACTCCCACATGGCCAGCTACGGTTCAAGTCCTGGACCTGGTGGCCTGTTTTCTTGCTTTCCCTTTCTTTATCTCTTTGTTTTTCTCTGGTCAAATTAAAAAACAATTACAGGGCTGGCAGGTGGCGTGTTGGTTAAGGGCGCTGGACTCCCACATGGCCAACCATGGTTTGAGTCCCAGACCTGGCAGCTTGGTTTCTCACTTTTTCTT